AGAAGAAAATCATGGTCAAGTGTCATCAGGAGAGACCAGTCCCTGGAGAGGGAATCACGGTTAGTAAACGAGGAAGACACTCAACAAGATGAACAGATATAGTGGCTGCAACATTGGTCTCAAACTTGTCGAGGACAGTGTAGGTTCTACTTGAGCACAATGAAGTGCTCTGGAATTCCCATTCTTTGAAACGTTATCCATAGATTGTTATGATTCACAATTGAATGCCTTTGAATGATTAAGAAAACACAAGTAAACATCTTTCTTATATTCTCTGCTTTCGGCCAAGATTCATCAGATGTCAGCAATGATATTCCTCATTACAGATCTTATTCTGAATCTGGCTTGATTTCTGACAGCTTCGTACCAATGTATTGCTGTATCAATTTTTAAATTATATACAGTAAAACTTTACTTGCACGTGATAGTCATTACTCGTTAATTTCTGTATTCTGTTGGCTCTTTTTTCTTTGGAGTGCGCATAAACATGGATCTTTTCCAAAGTTCTTGCCATAGACCAGTGTACTTCCAGTTCTGCATCAATTTGTGAAACATTCAAATGTTTTTCTGCCAATTCCAGAAGCCTTGCTTTTAACTACAGACTTTGATTCTTTATCATATGCTACCTCTTGAAATGGTTGACAGTCGACAAACTGTTTTTGGTACATTCACTCTGTATTCCTTCCATCTTCTTTTATCATTCAAGATTTTCCCTATAGATTCCTGCATTGTTGCAACTTGAGGTTTGAAAGGTTTATTTAGTTCTTTCAGCTTAAGAAATGCCGAGAATGTTCTTCTCTCTTGGTTTTTGCACATTTTACTCTAATTCTCTATCTTCTTAAGAGGTCCTTTGAAACACTGGTGGCATAACTTCCATCATCACACCAACATGCAAGCCACCATTGTATAGCGAACTGGGCCTATAGAAGGTCTTTAAAAATATTTACTAATAAATGAATAATATAATCATGCTGTGAAAAAAGTAGTTCTCAGATCAATACAGCTAAGAGATTATTCTCATTTCATTTTGAATAACTGTGATTTGTATATTGCAGAAATGCGTGTTTGACATTTCAAACCTCTAGAGTACTCAGTACTTGAATCATCAGCTGGCCTTCTTTAGTTAGAATCGTGGCTATCATCTGACTTTACCAAAGAAGATCTCCTACTCTTAGTGTCAGGGATACGATTCAAATTAGTAGTCTTTAGGGAGAGCAATTTGTTAAGTCTATTTAAAAAGTAGCAGCAGTCCTTAACTAAACAGTTGTATTTACAGAGCTTAGGGATATACCCCAACAAGCACACAAAGGTGAACGAACAAGGATATTTAAAGTAGCATTGATTATAAACATGGAAGAACTGGCAACAGCACAAGTCACATCAGAAGTTACTTGAATTGCGATGCATTCTAATGTAACCGTATGCTGCTACAGAAAGACCTCTAAGGAATACAAAGCAAACAGGCAGAGGCTACAGAGTAATACTTATTACAAAAACATACAAAGCTTACTAAATGTAGGGATTCTACATTTAGCTCATTTAATGCATACCACAACCCTAGGAAGTGAGTGCTACCACTTCGGTCTCTATTGTATAAATTAATGAAGCTACTTGCCTAACATTACAAAACACGTAGGAGGCCTTGAGTATCTGGCTTCGGATCAGTGTTTTCACTCAGCCCTACTTTAGGTGTGCTTTTTCTTTTGTTAAAGCATGCACATACATGAATGGAGCCAAATTAGCATGTGCACCAAAAAAAATGGTTCTAAGCATGGTCTCCAACTGCCACCAGCGACTTTCTCTGGGGAGTGGCTTAGAGGCAGAAGGGGAATAGGGGGAAATAAGTTTTATGTGATACAAGTCTATTTTTGTTGTTGCTGCTGCTTGCTTTTGTTATGGAGTTATTACTTTTCTAACAATAATATATTTTTATTTACAAATGAAAGGTCTCAAAACACAGTGTCTTTATTTTTCAATAGCAGCCAAAAATGAAAATGAATGTAACCATTTTCCTCCTTGCTATGGTGGTATCATTCACAGATTCATTTAACAAAAACATCTCAAGTGTGCTAGATGTCCTGCCCTTAAAAAGCTCACGCTCTAAGGCAGCAGTTCTCAACCTGTGGGTCGCGCCCCCTTTGTAAACTCAGGTAATGACAAAAAAATGTACATAGTTAATTGTGTTGTGCAATATGGACTCATGCGGTTATGCAAGGTACATAAACATACATTGTACATAGAAAGAATTCTCAGTGCATTTATGAATACATGTAATAAATAAATAAAAATATGTTTTGCATTTTTGTAGTTGGTAGATCACTTTGACTTGACCATTTTATAAGTAGCTCGCGTGCTGAAAAAGTGTGAGCACCCCTGCTGTAAAGGCTTGTGTCAAGACATGCAAGGCCTGGGGCACAAGTAGTTGAGTCCTGAGCGTGCAGCAGCTTGAACCTCCTAGCTGCTCCTGGAGAAAAAGACGCAGCACTCCACTTCCATAAAGGTCAACAGCCTTGGGGTCCCAGGGAGGAGCTCTACGCTGCCATAAGGGATAACCCCCCAGTCACCAGGGTGGGTTGGAATTGACACAACAGCAATGGTTTTTCTGTATTTGTAAGACATTCAGACGTTTAAAGGGCAGCCTATTTTTTTTAATTAAAAATTTTTATTGGGGGCTCTTACAACTCATTACAGTCCATACATCAATTGTATCAAGCACATTTGTACATATGCTGCCATCATTCTTTTGTAGACGTTTACTTTCTATTGAGCCCTTGGTATCCCCCCTCCCACCCTTGTGACCCCCTTAATAAATTATAAATTATTATTATTTTCATATCTCACACCAGTCTCCCTTCCCCTCCAGTTTCTGTTGTTCAACCCCCCAGGGGGGAGGGGGGAGGTTATGTGTCAGTCAGTTCCGTCTGTTCCACTTTCCTGCCCTCCTCTCCCCACCTTACCCCTACCCCTACCCCTATCACTATTCCCCTTCCTGTTCCTTGATTCCGTGTGTCGTGAGCTCTTATCTGTTCCTGTATATATGCTTCCATCTAGCCACAGTGAAAGGCAGCACTGGGGTCATGATAGTGGGGGGTGAGGAAGCCTCAAGGAACCAGAGGAATATTGTGTATTTCATCAGGGCTTTACTGCATCCTGGTTGACTCATCCCCTCCCATTGTCTACAGATGGGCTTTGGGTGTCTGCTCTGACCCCCCCTCATTCTCAACAATATGGTTGTATTGTTGTTATTGTTTGTTTATTATGGGTCTTCTGATGCCTATCACCCAGTCCTTGATGATCGCACAGGCTGGTGTGCTTCTTCCATATGGGCTTGTTGCTTCTCTGCTAGATGACCGCTTCTTTTATACACTCCCAAACCCACTCACAGTCAGAGGAGACACTGACTCAGAATGACCCTACGATTAAAACTCAAATAGTTGATTTTAACGCTAAGACACTTTGTTCTTTCCCTTATGCCAACCTGGCTTATCTTGCTATTACCGGTCCCCATTTGATATCTCTGAAGTGCTTTGATCACCAAGCAACATTCAAACGAAGTCCAGTTTCCACCTGGTGTTAAGTACTCAGCCAGTCCCCTATTACCAGGTAGAGGCCGTGTTCCGTTGCGGCAGTTATCCAGAGAATACGGGCTCGGTGCAACACCCCCTTTCTCGCAGTACCAGCTCCGCGGCGAGCCCAGCCCGTGCACGCGCAGTGGCGGGCGCCGCAGGGTCTCTCGGTGGCTGTCCGGTACAGCACCGGGGCGCCGGTGTCCCGCGTGGTTCCCCCGGGATCTCCCCCTCTCCTCCTGGGGCCCAGGGTCTCCAGGCCCTTCTCCAGGCCCTCTGCAGCCCGGGCCCGGGCCGCGCCCCGCACCCTCTGATCTCACGTTGCACAATGCCCGGGCCGTGCCTCCCGGGGTGTG